GCAAATGGCAAATGCGTCCTTCAGCTAACACCCTGCGCTTGTGAGGCATCCCTAACACCATCAGTCAGGATGGCAGGTAATGTTGGTAGTGGGTGAAGAGAAAGTTTCTTCCAGCGGTGTTAACATGCCTATTACCCTGCAAGCTGAGCAATCAATTGTTTGCCGTTACGATGCCGAGGCGAGGAGTTACCACAATTGAGGAATGAAAACAAACTCTTTTGTTTATTTCCGCTTTTTGGCCAACTTTTCTTTTTGCACATTTGATATGTGATTTTACTACGTATTAAATAGACGCCCTCTTTAGGAGGTGAAGTTTTGGTAAGGAGAAAAATGTTTGACTCAAACCTACTTTCGATCCTCGTTTATGCATACAAAAAATTTTTTAGATTTTCCGCACTTTTGTGACTGTGTTACCCGCGAACTTGTGATTGAATTAGGGTTAAATTCTATCCTAGGGGAAATGCTCTAATATAGCGCAGAATGTGTGCCGTCGATGTGGAGGTCTTGGAATTTATAGCATGGCCCGGAATTCAGGTTGCCCTGCGGACTTACAATGGCAGAGATCTCCGTGTCCCATTATCAAAACTAAGAGTTAAGCGAACAACTAAATTATGGCACTACTTTACACTTAAAAAAATCTTCAAAGTCTGCTGCCAGTGATATCTAGCAATCACATCGAAATCAATGAATTGTCCATTTGCCTCTTTTTACTTTGGAAAATAATTATTCTAAAAATACTCTATTTGAGCTTATCTATGCCATTTGATGCACTGTTAGAGAATCCACCACATGATAAAAACATTTCCGCATCGGAGAATGGTGGAGAAGCACAGCTTTTGTCATAAATGCCTGTCTCTAAAGTAGTTGCATGTTATTCAAATAGGTACTGATGAACGCAGCTTTAATCCCCTTTTTGTACAAAGACATTGTTCATGCCGCCAAGTTGTTTTCATTTGTACGGATTTATATAAACTGGTTGCCAAATTATTCGCAGCCAAACAGTTTCTCCACAACGAAGGTTTTTGCCAGGTAACAAGAGATGGCCTGACCCACTGCTTCCCCAAACATCAGATGATAGGTGGACAAGATCGGAGAGTTAACGAAAAGGCATGATTTGGTAGTAACATATCGTCCCGTTTCATTGCTGCTATCAGCCATACCTGGATTTTAAGTGAGAGAAAACATTTAGTAATGAAAGGCACCACTGCGGTGCAAATGGCACTTTGTGCCTGCCAAAGCGCAATCTTACTACCATAGTTGGGAGAGGAACCCGTTGCTATAGGAAAAAGTAGTTTCTGTCTAGAGGTAGGAGGAAACCTCAATGAGCTGAAAAGAAATGACAACAGAGGAATTGATGCCTCCGCATGAATAAACACCGCTATTATCCTTGTTTGATAGAGTAAATGGGTTTGCATACTCCTTGTCAGACAGGTATCACTTACTCCTGACAATATGGTATCTCAATGACAAAAGTTCAGCACTCTTGAAGGTTATGTAAATCGCAAAACGAGGAGCCTATATGATTAACAAAATCTTTGCATTCAGAGACTCCTGGCCCTACAAGGTCAATCTAGATCTCTTAATAAGAGAGAGCAAAATGTCAAGCTTGGACTTCTTGACAGATGGACGCAAGTAAATACGAAATTACTTTTTTTCAGTACTCCTCTGACCATAAAAACCCATTTTTTTTAGTGTAATTGATATCACTCTGTAAATTTTGGTAGAAAGTATTGTGGCTAAACAACTGAATTCCGGCGAAAAAGGTAGAAGATTGAGGGAAGCTTAGTGCATTTGCTGTTGTCTGGCCGATCTGGAGGAAGGTGGTAGGTTGCTTAGTATTTTTCAACAAAATTTCTGAAGTATGGAGCTTAGCATCAGTTATACTTTTCCCCTTACAGTCTATCACTAGAATTTCAGGAGCCACCCCTCGTCAAGGTGTCTCGCCCCTCTCCTGCAATTCAGCCAATCCGGAAATCGCTTTACCGTTCCGTGTTCACTTCCTGGAAAAATAATGAATGCGAAATAAAGCCGAATTGTTTTGAAATTGATTACAGAAGAAACTCGTTCTAGAGGTGTTTAATGTGTAATTTCCAATTATTCAAATTCTTCCAGTTGTCTACCTCATACGGCCGTTAATGTTGACCTGAATTAAGTCAAAATGACCGTAAAGAGAATTTTAAGTAGATCTTCTGAAAAATAGTTGAGTTAATTCCCTGCAGAAATCACTTTAAAACCTACTGAAACAGATGCCGAATGTTATCCAACCGCGGCGCAACATTAATTATCAAGGCCTCTACTGAGGATGCTTAAACTGTCGAGCAGAAGAGGCTTTTGAAAAACAATCGCACAAAATAAGGTCACTTCAAATGATATGATTGCTTATCAGGACAAAGAGAAGCCGACTAATCACAAATAGGGTAAAGTGACCTCCAAAATATAGTAACAGCACTAAGGAATGAAAATTTTCTGCAGGTAAAGAAGCAGTCTAAATTGCCGTGCATAACAAATATAAACAAGTACTAAATCAAAGATTAAATGTTTTGAAATATTGTATAACAAACACAGACTGCTAAAAGTAAATTTGAAAAATCCCAAAAATGCATGCCTCTAATATGCGTTTTGTAGTAATGCAGTTGGACGTTTAATTTGAGGAAGTATTACCCATTTGCATACCTCAGATTCAGTCCTTTTGGTTCCTTGTTAGAATGATTCAAGTGCGAAAACATTGGGCTACAGCAAAATGCTTAGAGACATGGACATCAGTGATCGGTCCAACAAAGTGTGATGAGCGGTTTTAACCAGTGCCACCGTCCCAGTCCCACCAACAATCCATTCAACACATCTCGCCAACATTGCCAAATTGGTGGAGATGAGTACACTACCCCAATTAAACTAGATTTGACAAATATGTTCCATTCCAGTTCATTCATTTTTCCATACTTCACTATGAAGAGTATCTGTTCAAAATATGCGCGACACATTCAACATGTATGACGATAGAATGGTGAAGGAAGCATCGCAACATAAAAATGGAAGAACGTGGCATTTGCTCATCCATCTTACTGGCCATCTGTTTGCCGCAAATAGGTGCAAGTGCGTGATAACTATCAGGGACGTCTTGCGAGTTGCTATTGGGACCATTAAATAAATTGTGACTGTTCCCAAGGCGACCTAATGGTGAAGTTGAATACCTTGCCTCAATAATGAGATTTGATGGAGTGTGAAGTGCACGTCAAGTTATCAACTCAAGTTGGGCCTACAGTAGGGCATTGAGAGTCTGTCTTGCCAAGCACACAGGTAGCGTTGGGTGTCAGTTGTGAGTGAAGGAAAGCGCTGCGACACCGCTTACCTGTGCGGACACGACTCTAAGCAACTGTTTCAAGTGTCATGTCTCGAGTCATCCACTTTCCCACAGAGACAGCCTTCTCCCACCATTGCACACTGCATCCGTTTCGTCCTAAATGCCATGACAGTAGGTACAATAATCGAATCATGTGTCCCAACGGTATTATTTGTTTCAAGTCGAAGCCCTTAGTGCAACTAATGCGAACAATGTTAATAATGTGCATCGGGGTCGAGAAATCCCTGTCAAGTCAAAATAAAATCGCACCTCACACTTCTTTGCAAATGCACGTTCCGTAATCATATTACTTTCTCCAATGCCAAAAGAATCACCCAGACGTCAAAGTGAGCGTCACCAAATATTACGTGGATGAAACATCTCAAAGTAAATTAGACACCGTCCGACTGAAATCACAATTATTCTCACTTCTTTGCTTACGCGATTTCACTCTCGTGTACCGGTTCAAACTGGCAGACACAGACAGGCCTTGGTGCTGAGCTGCGCTCAATTACCAGTAGAGAAATCCTCCTTTGGGCTTCCTCCTCTTGTGGGTGTGTTGACAAAGCTTTCTGGATAAAATAATGCGATGGTGCATAAGCCGCATTTAGCACGTTGAATGCTAATTCGGCTGCTTAGCCGCCAAATGGCTGCCCGTGTTTCTGGCTGCCCATCTTTCCTACCACCTTCAATTTGTTAACATTTGGGTGTACATGTTTGATTAAAATGCGGTGCAAATCTGTAGGAACTGGCGTTGTTGGAGGGGAACGGTTGATTGGTCAAGATGATGGCCAAGCCTCTCCACCAGAAGTAAATATTTGCCATACGCAAGGCAATAAGGAAATATATGGGGCATTTTGAATGTTTAAACACTGTCAAATTTGCGAACACTCTGACAGGGTGCCGGTTTTACTTGAACGAAGAGTAGTTACAAAAAAAATTCATTTAATAAGACTGCATCCTTAGGCTGTAAGGCACAGTCTTCATTACATTTCGCACTATTCATGCTTATAGCCTCCAGTTCGATTGTACTAACATTTCACATTGAGTTCTTAAAAACGGTGATAGCCGCTTGATGGGACCGCTGAATAACACGCCAAAAGTACAGAAGACCTTCACTTCTCAGACTGCTTATCATAATGAAATTTTATTGAAAGCAAGTATCTGTCACGGATAGCGGAGTCAGTGGCGAGAACACTAGAGCGGCTGTTGAACTAGTACCGACCTTTGATAATTACCCAACAGACAGTTCGTGTATTCAAGTTCAAATAGCCGCATTTGGTGAACTGGAGCGGTTGGGAACAAAAAATAGTTGAACCAGTCTGAACGAGGATAAATGAAGTCTTGTATTTGAAGTGGCTTACATGAAAGTCGGATACCATTTCAGTGCCGAGGGACCAGTGTGCTTCTATTCCTTTGCGGTAATTATCCCTAGGCGTATAAAAGAAGACGATTTCTAACTGTTTCCCAAATTAACACTACTGTGTGTAGCTAAAACCTCATCACCAGGTATTAAGAGGTCAGGCCTGTGCAAAAGTGACATAGGAAAGTCGAGCCAAAATTGCATTCCAGTGTGCATTCATTAATCAACCGAGACTAGGAGACATTAGCATTTAGACAGATCCTGCAGATTCAGTCAAGCTTGACAGATGACAGCATAATGTCTAAACCAATTGTATCCAAAAATGAGGCAAATTTTGAGAGGCAAGGTCGTTTGGTATCTCGGGAACTTGGAGAGCCACAGAAAATAATAGTCCTCTTCCGAATTGATACTGCGTTCCAGACAAGCGCGTGTGTGAGTGTCAGGTTAACCGCAAAAATTTAAGACTCAGATTAGGCTTCGAACAGTTAAAATTTGTCTTATTTATTTACAATTTACCTTAATTAGAGGATGTAGTTCTATTAAAATGTCCATTAAGCATTCGTGGATTCACCGTCGCCCACTTGGACTTTGTTTCTTTTCAGCTGACCTAATCATTACAGAGGACAGTCATTTTAATTGCCATTAACACACTTTCTTGAAACGAAACTCCTCAGTAATTATTTACAATGTAGCAGGGGAGGTAAAGTAAAACTAGCTATTCAGACAATAGGGTATAATAAAAATTGGCCTTCTGACCCTCTAAAGGATACTTCTATCCAACCATATCTGTAAGCCCTATGATTAAAGGAAAATTCTCTTTCCCACCAGAATAATACAGGTGCAGTTTTGCAAATTTGGGTTTGGATTGTTGTTCTCGACCAAGGGCATTACTAAAATGGCTGCTGGTTCATGCCCTCAAAGGAAGTGGTCAGCTCCACCCCAACATCCGACAATGAAGCTGGGCTTGAAAATGTTCGAGCATATGGCCTGCATTCTGCCGTGTGACATTTAGAAATGATCCACACATTGGCATAGTCAACCATACTTGGTCCAATGGACAGCACAAAGTCTCAACTACTGCATGTATGACAAGAGCTTTCTCTATTGTCGCTGTGAATGTACTTCCCCTTGGTCGACCCATTTCGTGTTTTGTCGCAGAAGATAATATTTTAAAGTAGAGGCTGATGAAGTGAATTGTGCCTGCTGTGTAGAGGCAAGCAGTAGATGTTACTCGGATCAGCCAAATGGGTGGTAATTACGGTGGCAATGTGTGGGTGAGAAAAGCAAAAGTGGACGTATTAATGGAGGCAAAAGGTGAATTTTCTTGTGAGGGCGTGGGAAGGCTTAACACACAAATTAATTCTTTTTATCAACCTACGCAGTATTGGAGGCATCCTCTGGCCGGGTACATGTTAAATTATCCCAACAAAAAATTGCCTTCTCTATTGGTATCGCTAGAGGGACTATAATAAGTCATGGATGAAGGAAGCAGAATTGCATTCCAGTTGAATTATAAATAGGCGATTCCGTTTTAACAGTGTAAACTCAATTTAATCTCATGTTTGTCACTCCCTAGGGTGTTGGCCAGCTGTTTCACCCATGTGTAGTGACCCGGGTTTTTATTGAGGTCGAGGTCACAAATACGTGACGTTCTCTCTAGCCGCTCATGATGACCAGTGGCTCCAAGTTGTGCAGCAAATAGATTGGTGGAGAGTTAGAGAGAAGAAGGGATGAGCCTGAGAATATTTATTTTTCTCAAATCTCTTGTCGTAATGGAATTAATTGAAGCATTAATGACTGTTGGTGGCACATTGGAACAATAAAATATTTGTGTTGTGATGCGATTCTAGTAGCAAAGGTGTTAATTATGCATTCATTTGTCACTACGGTTGACTCCAAATGCTGCTAAAATAGCACTTGAGAGGCTTACTTGACCTATACCAAACATCAAAAAACAATGTTGAATACAGGTCTGACCTCCAATTACCGCACCGTCCTGTCTGCCTGGGCCGATATGGATTCAAAAATAAGGTTGGGTAAAGGGTTTACTATACAAAAGAAGGAAAAGATTCCTAAATAACCTTTGAAACTGACTCACTACCCCTTTAAACTACACACAAAATGTTCAAACTGGAGCAACACCCTGGGAAAAGATGGGACTAATCATAGAGTGAATCTCCCAGATTCGTATGCACCAAAAAGCGGTGGGTCATAATAAGGTGATCCCGTGTAGGCTCTGAGCTCATGTAACATCGCTATTGAAACCCCCATTGCTTATGGCTGTGATGCTAAAATGACTGACTGTACGATGCAACTCCTCTCAAGTGCTACTGAATGAGCTCTCTTGACATACATCTACTGTTAATGCCAACTACCCTTCATTCACCCAGCAAATTTTACCCAGCTTGGAAATATTTGAAAGGTGCTTGTTTTGCGTAAAACAGGAACTTATTTTCATTAAAACATGGATTCACTTTGACAGGCAAACAAACTTGAGCAAGTCCACAGTCTACTTATCTCCACAGCTAAAATCATTTGCACTATATACTCTTTAAAAGAAATCAGGAATGGAATTCTGAAAGGTGACCATTTTTTGTTGTAACTGCCACGTTCATGCAAGCTTTACAGCCCATTATTCTATCCATCTTTTGCCCCATTTCTATGGGTTGGACCTTTTTGTTAAAGTGATTTAAGAAATGTGCGTGCTGTGCGCCAGGGCAAGCCGCAATTGTCACTTCGAACTGCAGAGTAAACATTAATGACAGTGGTAAAGTACATGTGAAAAGCAGACGCGGGCTTTCAAATTGAGATAGTGGGCAGAAATTTTCTTGCTAGGCCGAGTATGAGTTTATCACTTAGACCACGTTTATTTATCCAACCTGTGAAGATTTATGGGCATTCACCAGCCGAGGTGCATGTGAAATTGACCGAATGAAAAATCGCCTTCTATATTAGTACCGCAGAAGGAAAATCAACCGCCTTACTTTCCATGTGGCTCCAACAGACACCAATTGTGCTCGCCAATTCAAGTTTAGCCTACTAACTGACGTGCTGGTTCAGGGAAGGAGGAAGTCGAGAGGGCACTGAAAGCTAACGCGTCATTGAAGTGCTAAGAGATTTCTCCAAATCCTCAGTGCTTTAAATAATTCATGACCATGTAAATAGTTTCGGGATAAGGAAAAATTTCATCCTTTCAAAAAGTATGGCTCTATTCGAAATAGGTCTTGATGCTAACAGCAAGCAGCATCCAGTTACACCTGAAAGCTATGGTCTCATTTCTGAAACATACTGGAAAAGTGTGAGGACTCGCCTCATCAAGGATAGGGGCAAAAGCACTCTCTATGTCAACTTCATTTGTAAAAGGTAGAATTTAGGGAAGATTGTGCAGATTTTACTGCCTGAAATAACTTTTTCCCTGTTTATATAGACTAACTGAAAAGTGCTACCACTGCAACTTTTGATGTTTGGCTTGTGAATAAATTTTTCTTGCCATATTAAAAACAGCTTAATTCGGTACCGCTAAGTACCTTCTCTATCTTGACCTCGTCATTGGGCCTCTCATTTCACCTGGCTGGACTAACAAGGCCGGCTATCTTCCCACTTCATACCGACGCCATCTTCTTTAGTAGTATGGTGCTAAATCATGGTCTTTCCGTTCAACCATAAAGTTGGAAAAATCAGCCCCTCTTATAAGGATTTAAATGTACCACCTTCTTGTGCAATAGAATGAGCACCTTCTCATTCCTCTATCTTAGTCTATGCTATCGTCGAATGACCCGATACATTCAAATCCACCCAACCACTCTTAATAATATCGCGAATAAAGTGGTATCCCTAGTTGATTTACCTTTTTTTATTGTCTTTGGTGCAGCTCTGTGCCAACAAAGTTAGCCCAATCAGAGGAGCAAGTAGGAATTGCAAACCTGCAAGGTAAACGCCATTTAAATGCTAGTTTGTGTTAGGCGAGGTCCCTCTCTGCTTTTAAGCCCATATCGAGGTTTTATGGCGAACTATTTGTCTGAAATCTCTTATCAACTATATTAACCTAACTGCAGTTACCTTGCAAGTTACACTCATGCCATAAGGGAATACGGGATTCGTGAGCTTCAATTTTAAGTGACATTATAATGAAGCATGACACTGCCAAGTTTGACAATCTTAAAATGCTTTTACAAGTGGGATGAGAACACTTTTCTTGCCAAGATAGAAAGGGATGTCGAGGGGCATTCGCTTGCGCACATTTTCCCTTCTCCGCTCAAAGGTTGGAGACAATGGACAGAACAATTGAAAGGGGCTCAGCTTTGATTACTACTGCATTGGAGGTCACACTATGAGGCTATCCTGTGGAAATGACTTGCTCAGAATCAACAAGTTTAATTACCTTAAATTCCCCTTTCTGAGGTCAGAAGAAAGCGTTGTCTTGACTCAACTGGAAAATGCAAAGATTCATAGATCAACTGATGAAATCCAATTGCCATGGCAGGCTAGCCCATTTAGAAGGGCGGGAATTTTGACTGAGATAAATGGTCTATAATGGTGGAAGAAGGCACCATGGTAGGTTAAATAAATTTGCGTGTTTCATCGTGGAAGTCATTTGTGAGTTTGGAACTAAGCAATGAATGTAGTCCCCTTCCCACCCACTACTTAAATGCTCCTTGCTAAAGCACAATTACCAGACATGGGGAATTTGTGACAATATATTAATAGCGTTGATGACGAAAAAATATCACACAGCTAGAAATGTTAGATATTTGGTTAAAATACCGACTGACTAACCTACTAACCTATTCTTGTGCCCTTTTATAAATACCAAACTGGATCTGAACTTGCAAGTGAGACTCTGCTTTTGGAAACTGAAAAATGCACCATTCCTTTCTGCAGTGAGGAGACACTTGGGTATCTGATTAAAGGAAATCCTTTTTAAGCCTACGGTAACAAATTTCGACCTAAAACCAAAACCGTGGATTGGCTTCGGGTCTTTAGGAACAGTTTTTTATTCAGTCCCCCTCTGTAGCCTCCGCAAGAAGGACCTAGAACACTAGAGTCAATTCTTTGAAACCAAACCAATTTTCTTCAGTTCCACAAAACTCAGCTATGCTTACACTTGTCTTCTGTACTAGATTTTAATGTCACCTAACAATTGTCCCATCGTGGAAAGTATGCAAGGAGCTCTAGCATATGTTTTGTTTTAACAAACATCTTCACCGAAAATTTTCTCACCATTGTTGTAGGTTTGGGGGACATTTTCGGGACAAGGAATAGGATGACAAGTGCATGCGAGTTCGGGAGAATTGAGTAGTAAAGGACAAATTAATTTTGGAGGATTCAAGTCCTACTTGCTTTTTGAGTTTCATCGAGATTGGCCAGGACAGTAAGTTGTCTGATGGCACAGAGCTCTTGCGACCACATTGTTTATTTCCAGACCTCGTCTTCAGACCCCTAATACTTTGTTTTTAATCAGAAGAAATCATAGTGGATTGATGGCAAAACCTTGCTTGAAGAGCTCGAGTCACACCCCTTCGACCTCAATATTAATTATTTATTTTATTGGACTCTACAATGGTACGTTTGAACTACCGGTTGTGTCATTGAGGGACTTTTGTGTCCGGGAGAAACGACTTGTACATTACCCAAGAAGCTGAGCCAACCGTTGTGTGCAGTTGCAATGTCGGAGCGAGGAGTTACTACAATCGAGGAGCACAATTTTGTTTTGCGTGTTTCTGTTTTAGACGACCTTCCCCTTCTGCGCAGTTGACAGGTGATTTTTCCCACCGCGTATCTAGTATGTCTCCTCCCCCTTAGGAAGGTTGAAATTATGATGAGGGGAAAAATGTCACCGTAGCCTGACTCAAACCCACCTTCCATCCTCATTTATGCTTGTGATAACCGTAGTTTTTTTTAATTTTACCCATTTCTGTGACTTTTTACTCAAGAACTTGCAGTTTGCTTACAAACAACTTCCGTCTTAGTGCAATTGCTCTAATATAGCTCCCCCAGTCATCCATGAAGGTATACGATAATGTAATGCTGGGTTGGAACGTGCACTGCCAAAACAGTGAATGTCTTGTGAGCTGCTGGCATAGCCCGAAGGTCAGACCACCTACCCTTGGCCCCAATAGTTTCTTGCCAAAACCAAGGGTTAAACAAACAACCAAAAGATTGCACTGAGTTACACGCATAAAAGTTTTCAAATCCTGCCACTAGTGACATTCAGTAACCATACCGAAAGCAGCAAATTGTCCATTTGTCCCTTTTTAGTTTAAAAAATAAATATTCTGATAAGCTTACAAAAAAATTTATGTGGATATTCAGTTTGAACATTGTTGCAGGATCTAGCATTCGATAGAGCAATTCGGAATAGAAAAACAGAGGAGAACCACAGTCTCAGCCATTTAAAGTCCTGTCTTCAAAGTGGCTATATGTTACCTACAAACGATACCAATGTAGGTTACCAGAATCTCTTTTTGTACAAAGGCATTATTTGCATCGCAAAGCTGTTTACATTTTTATGCTCAATAATTCACCCGTCTGCCAAATTAATCGCTGTCAAACAGGTTCTACAGCATGAAGATATATGCTAACAAACAGGTGATGTTCTAAGCCACCTACTCAAGGTATGGTTTGGTAGAACCATTTTTACCCGCTACTTTGCTGCTGTTCAACATCATGTAGTTTTTGGGACACGAGATGCCATTTAGTAGTGCAGGTCACCACTGCGATTCACTTGACATTTGTGGCTGCTAAAAGGCATTCTAACTACTAAAGTCGGGAAAGGAATTTGTTGCCAGTAAAAAAGTAATTACTGGCCAAATAAGGAGAAAATGGTAATAAGTTTGAAAGAAATGACTAGAGAGGAATAGCAGCCTCGACATGAATAAAAACACCACTGCTGTCCACACTTGTTATTGTGATGCAGTTTTCAAATCCATCGTTAGATTGACGGTATTAATTCTCAACTTAATGCTAGTATACATGTACCACTCAATGAGAAGCCTGAATGGTTAACAAAATCTTTGCATTCACAATCTCGTGGAAGCATAAGATTGAGCCAGGTCCCTTCATAGGAGGAGACCAAATGTCAAATTGTGACGTTTTCATAGCTGAAGATGAGTGTATCCAAAATCGTACCCTTTTTCAGTGTTTCTCCGAGCCATCAATACCTATTAATCAACGTAATTTACACCATTTCGAATGTTTTGATCGAAAGGTCAATCTTCGGGTTTCATCAAGTAACGCAACTAGGGCAGAAATGGATTCTTCATAATGCAAATCACCTTGTTTCCTTCCTGATAAGGTAATTATCTCAGTCCTAAAATACGGCAAAATGAATGGAAAGGGAAGTTAAGGTGGTGGTATTTTTAGATAAAACTTGATATTAGACTTCCTGTGAAATCACTACAAAACCTCTTGAAATAACAGTCGAATGCTATCGCAAAGAGGTACAGCGTTAATGATCGAAGACTCCCCTGAGGTTGTATTAACTATGGAGCAGGTGTGAAGGAGAGTTTTTTAGTAAATTTTCATAAATTAAGAACGCTCAAATGCGGGGTTTGTGTAAGAGGACAAAGCGAAGCCGACCGATTGCCCATTTGTCTGCTTGCCTATCTGGGATACCACGTTGTGTCTAATGCACTTTTTCTATCAAGCGTGAAGATCACTTTAACGACTAATGGAAAGTGACATTTAAGCCCGCCCCTCTTCCACCTGTCTACTTATAGCTGAGTTTTAATTCATTATCCATACTATGGGTAAGTGGGTTTTGTTAACATCTCAATTTTTGATTCGTCCACATAAAACGCGCATTAACAGCAATGGAAAGGAAGTCGATGTCGATATAAGAAACAAAAATAGGTAACAGCGGATTTTTGAAAGCCAAATAGTTACCCTGGACACTAGACAAATTAGCCAAAAATATAGCAATCAGAAATTTGTAAATTTTGACTATTCATTCAAAAAGGTATTAGAAATGTCGGCTGGTAAGTTGTGACTCAAGAGACAAGCATTTTGGAAGTAATTACCTCAAATTTACCAACACTGGTGTTCACATGTTCAGTCAAAATAAGCAGCAAAACTTGTGTGAGTTAGCGTTATGGAAGCGCATTG